GCTGAATTAACTTACCTTGAGAAAATTATTAAAATATTTGGTATTCCTACGTTTTTTGGGTCGCTGATTATGAATTTAAAGTCAGATTTGCAAAATTCAAAATAACGGACTCAGTATGGCGATCATGATGTACAAAATTAATGGAAATTCCAATTATTGTTAAATAATGACCAGGTCGTAATAAGAATATACCATATGATTCTAGACGATGAAACTCGAGCTGGAAAAAATATGTGGGAAAATGTTTAATACTGCATATTTATGCTTACTAGAGATTAAACATTCATTTTTGAGTAAAATAATATTGATAGTATGGATAAGATGGAGATACAGAATGAAAAACTAGGAAAATAGAGTTAAAAAGTGTAAAAAAATCAAATTTCGGCTGTTTTTGTAGAAATATTTGTTTATAAAAAAATCTAACCTGCAAAAAGATACTGAAAGAAATATATGTTTTTATACAACATCAGAAAAATATTTGGTGAAAATTTTAGACCTCTACATTCAATATTCTCCGAGGAATCGATTTTTCCCTAAAAGAAGCATTTTTTTCAACTTTGATTTGTTATAAATAATCACAAATGAATAATTTGGTATAAAAATCTATTGGAGTATGTTGAACAACTATTCAGTTATCTGGAAAACTCAAATCCCCGATTAGTTCTTCAAAATTATGTGATTCACAACGCAAAATTGAATCAAGGAAAGGTAGGAAGTATACTTCCCACTAACAATGAAAGCGTTAAGTATCGAAAAAAATATTAGGCAAATAAAAAAAAGTTTCAAACAAAAGTTATTAAAATTAATTGATAGAAAAAGATGATATAATAAAAAATTGAGGTTTCCATTTAAGAAAAGTAATAATCAGTGAATATCTCGAAAGTGGCGCTATCTGTAAACAAAATGATATAGTTATTTTATCTCCTTTTGGAAACCTGAATACAACTTTTGTCTGAAACATTTCTTAGTATCTTCCATATTTTTCCAGATTTTTGCTTCGCTCATTTAAAATAGGACACCCCGTATAACGTTAGAAAAATGAAATATTCGGTTACCATTTGAGCGAAAGATTTGTGTGATATGATTGAATTTACGTTATGAAAAAATTATGAAAATGAGCAAAAAAAGGTGTATTTAAGGCATGTTATGCTTTATGTGTTTCGGAAAGATTTAACAGTTGGAACTGTTGTAAAAACATATTCAAGATATCTATTAGGACCGTGCACCAGCAATTTGAACTGTTAAGAAATAGTCTGCGAAAATTAGACGTGGTGATTTCCATTTCGACAACTATCTGCGTTCTGGCCGATCTTCTAGCATAGATAATGACATTATGCGTAATTTAATGCAAAGTAATTCATGAATTTCAACAAAAAGAGACTGCTAAAAGATCCAACATTGACACATCGACCGCATTTCGGCATTTGAGAAAAATCAACTATTCTTTGAAGCTCGATGTGTGTGGCTGCCGTATTTGCCAAGAAAGGGAACAAATTGAATTGAGTTTCTGCAGTTATTTTCTCGTTTGGCCGACTAAATAAAGATTCGATGTCGGGCCGACTGGTAACTGGCGATGAAAAATGAATCCTGCAGAACAATGTTCAACGCAAACATACTTGAAAACAAACAAACGTGCGGGACGTGCGAAACCTATGGCAAAAGCCAGTTTGAGAAGGTGATATTTTCTATTTGGTAGGATTGCACAGAAATAATTTGTTTAGTTGCTCCCGGTTGACTAAATGATTAATTTTGACAAGTATTGTCAACAATTAGATAAATTAAAAATAGCAATCCAGGAGAAGCGCTCAATCGTAAGGGAGTAGTCTTTTACCACGACAACGTAAAACTACACACTGTAAAACAGACATTATGCAAATTGAAAGAAATGAGGTAATACATCATATTGGATCCACAGTTTTCTTCTGATATCGCATCTTCTGATATAGTAACATTCTACCTTGTTTCGATCATTGCAAAACGACTCGAATGGAAAAATATTCATATCTATGTGGAAGCCGTCAAAAACTATATTTTTTTTCAACGCAAAACTGAAGTTGTTTTATGATCGAGTCATCTGTATGGTCCCAGAATGTTGGGAAAAGATTGTAGATAATGACGGCGATTATATAATTAATAAACAAATTTTACATGCCAAATTAATATTTGGGTTTTAACCTCTTACACTAGAATGACATGGTATGTAATATATCACTTATTTGTGACCAAAATAGAAATGGCGTACGCACGTCGCTTGTTGTTTGTTTACCAAATGTTTCGTTGTATTGCACATCTCACATTATTTTGAAATTTATCATACTGTATAAGACTATTGATAAAAATCTTTAATCATTTAAGTGCTGCAGGCATATACAGGGTGTCCCATTTTAATGCCCCACCCTAAATAAATCCAGTATTGAAATTTCAAGGAAAATGATCTTAATAAAAGTTGTAGGGATTTAAGTGAGCTACCTTATGATGACCTTGATCTTGACCTCTATTTTCAAGGTCATTTGAAAGACAACTTGCGTTTTTTAAATGGGAACCCTTATTTTTTATTACACTGTTTTTTTCTACTAGTTAATTTGAACAACTTTTGCAAATCTAACCAAGTGCAATGACAATTTGTTCTCATTTTTCAGGTACCTAAAACATTCTTTTACTTGTCAAATATTTTTTGAGATATTTGAGGAAAACTTAATAACTTTTTCAATATTTAACTTACGATATCTCGTTAACTATTTGTCGGAAAAAAAGTGGTACTAGACTTTCTTGTTTTATTTAGTCTCAAGAATATATTGTTACAATAGCGCCCTGATTTTTGTTAACTTGATGATTTTGAAATTTCCAAAAATCAGTAAGTTAACAAAAGTCAAGACGCTATTGTAACAATATATTCTTGAGACTAAATAAAGCAAGAAAGTCTAGTACTATTTTATCTTCTGACAAATAGTTAGCGAGATATCGTAAGTTAATTCGTAGGTTATCGTAAGTTATTAAAAAAGTTATCAAGTTTTCCTCAAATATCTCAAAAAATATTTGATAAATAAAAAATTGTTATAGACAAAAGTTGTTTAAATTAACTAGTAGAAAAAAACATTCTAATAAAAAATAAGGATTCTCATTGAAAAAACACAAGTTGACCTTCAAATGAGCTTGAAAATAGCGGTCAAGGTCCAAATCAAGGTTATCATAAGGTAGTTCATTTAAATCCCTACAACTTTTATTCAGATCATTTTTCTTGAAACTTCAATACTGAAGAGTTATTTAGAGTGGGACATTAAAATGGGACACCTTGTATATACGTTTTATGTATTTTATTTATATTTTATTTATTATGGCTTAACATTTATTATTGTACAGGATGTTCCATTTCAAGAGAGCCAGGCAAAAATTTGAAAAATATGAAAGATACTAAGAAACGTTTCAAACAAAAATTGTACGGTTTCAGAGGGGACATCTAAATATTTCAAAAAATATTAGGCAAATAAAAAAATGTTTCAGACAAAAGTTGTTCAAATTAATTGGTAAAAAAAGATGATATAATAAAAAACTGGTGTTTCCATTTAAGAAAAGTAATGATCAGTGAATATCTCAAAAGCGGCGCCATGTATAAACAAAATGATATAATTGTTATAACATTTTACCCTTTTGAAATCATACAACTTTTGTTTGAAACATTTTTCCTTAAAATGTCGCGTTTACAAAAAAGTCGATTAGTACGGGTGTTCTATGACACCGCGTATATTATTTGTTACAGCAAATTTTGTATAAAAAGAGAACACCTTCATCTATTTAATCGAAAATAATTCTATTAAATAAATAATTCTATTAAATAAAAATAATTCTATTAAATAAAAAATATAAACTGTCTTCAGCTAATTTAGCTAATACACAAGTTTGCAATAGCTTCAAAGTTTACACAAAAGCTTCCTGGGCCATTCGATTATTGGATGATAGGTCCTCGGATTAGAACATATTCCCCGGGTTTTAGACGAAAACTAATAATGGCATCGTGTTCAGCGGATCAAAATCCTTTGAAAATAATATATTTTGTCCGTTCCCCACGATAAGCCAAAATCGGCCCTTTTTACCCATTGTTCTTTGTATACCAAGTTTTTCAAAAGTAACAGACCCCCCCCTACCTCAGAATCTATGCATTATAGGGAAAAATGACCCTAATAAAAGTTTTAGGGTTCATAAAATTCTGTTTTTGGTGACCTCAAATTTTACTTTGACCTCGACCTTGAAGGTCATTTGAAGGTCAACTTGCGTTTTTTTAATAATAAGGATTCCCTATTTTTTATTACACTGTTTTTTTTCTATCAATTAATTTGAATAACTTTTGTCTAAAACATTCTTTTATTTGCCTAATATTTTTTGAGATATTTAAGGAAAACTTGATAACTTTTTCAATATTTAACTTACGATATCTCGTTAACTATTTATTGGAAGAAAAAGTTATGAACCCTAAAACTTGTTCAGGTCATTTTTCCCTTTAATGCATAGATTCTGAGATAGGGGGGGGGGATCCGTTACTTTTGGAAAACTTGGTATATAAACGATTTCGAGTAATAAATTGCTTCCGTTTTTGACATGTTCATCACGAGTATCGGTCAGTTAATTTCCAGAGCAAGAGGTTAAGAAGAAATCGAGTGCGATCTTCTGCATTCATTTAGTATCTTGGGAGACCGTCTCGTTATCCAGACTTCGGGATTACAGTTTTTCGAGAAATTCTTTTTCTTCTCATATCTCGGCATCTTGATTCTTTGGAACAGTGCCTTTTCCACTCGATTGGTCCTGTTTGAATTTTTGTCGAGTCACTTCCTTAACCGCGCGTCACGCGACCATGCGAATGGAACGCACGGTCCCTCAATGAGAGTGACAGGGCCAGCGAGGGGTTATAAGCGAGTAAGTAAGTAAGTAAGTAGATAATGGTCGATTTCGTTGATGGAAACGTCGTATGTGTGTAGGAAGTACGCGCAGATAAGCAGACAGCATCGACATGATCGTCGCAGTGGTGTCTCATTATCGTACTGCGTGAGTCGCGTACACGACTTTTTGACCGGTCACAAAGATACGTGCACTATCGTTTTCAATTTTCTCATTTGGCCACGTCGTAGTAGCCCCGGTTTTCAAATTTCTGAAAGAAGCTTTTCAACGTTATCCCGATTTCTCGTTATCTCAAAATAATGATCAGTTTGAGTTTTACGCTCGGGCATGACGCTGGAGGAAACCAGTCTGGTCAATCAGAGATGGCGTAGATAACGGTTGTCGTAAGAACGTCAAACATTTCTATATCCGCTTAGTCAGGAAGATCCTCTTCAGTTTTCAATGCCGAAATCGCCCCGCACTGTGCGAGCGACAATTGCTGACGCGACAATCTACGCCTTTGTACTTGTGTGGAGAATAAAAGAATTCACCATTACAACGAAAAGCTTCGCTGGCTCAGTCAATCTATAGCTGTAATATGTTCGGATCTTTTAAAGCAAAATCTTATTCGAAACAAGTAAGAATCTACTCGAAATGATGAAGGAAATACTGTCGCACTAGGAATCATAGAAGCGAATGTTTAAACTCAAACTTGAAGTGAATTCTTGATCCGTATGAGTGAATGTTTTAATCGATTACTGTACTTTTGTTCGGCGAGACGATCGAGCGCATCAGATTTGCTTTTCAATTTAGAATGAAATTACTCGACATGCATCTGTGAAGATTCCCGTTATTCGGGGTAGAGAATTTATCCTATATGAGTCATATACTTAAAGTCACTGAACCTCGAATGACTCAGCTGTTATTCCACTTTGCGAATAGAATTTTATTCGCAGCAAGAATTTCACTCATTTTGAGCCATTCTAGTATAAACGTGAATCATACATATCTCTAAAATCTGTGCATATTCTATATTTTATGGACGACTAAAAACATGGGAGAAAGTCGAGACGCCTGTTTCTTTATTTTGAGAAACTAACCGTTTTACCGGAAAAATGTTTTCTTAGCCTTCCAAAGAAGATGCATTGAAAAAAAAAGGTTTGTCGGGTTAACAAAATACTAGTAACCTCAACAAATAGTTAACAAATGTGGGTTAATAGCAAATGATCGTTGTGGTAACAAATGATTTATTACTTATGATTTGTTGCTCTAACCAACAACTTCATAATGGGAACAAATGATATTGTTACGTTAATCCAACAAATCATAAATTTTTTATTTGTTGGCAATATAAAATATAAGCAAAGGTTAGAAATTATATGTAAACAAATCAGTTGTATTAATTCTTCTTCACCAACGTATAATATGTAGCAAAATACATAAAAAATTCGATGAAACATATACAATGCTACACTAACGCGTATCATAATTACCAGATAATTCAAATACAATTCCATTACATCTAATCAAATATAATCTAATCATTAGTAGAGAAGGGTTAACAAAATAATAATTCTGTGTGTGTATTTTTCAGGAATTCGGAGAAAGGAATAGAGCAATGCATTATTACATTAATCTTTATTTTTAGCACGACATATTATATAAAATTAATAGACCAGATTAAATAAGGTTAAAGGGGATATACATACAATATGAAAGGTTCGTACTGCGAACGTACTTTTATCAATATAAAAGTCTGTAAAAGTACTACTTAAATACTACTTCGTAGCTACTTAAAAAAAGCTTGTAAATTACTTTCAGAGATGCTTTTATCTATATGAGAGTTTCAAATATAAACCACAGAAGAGTCACGTACATATATATAGGGTGTCCCATTTTAAGTGTCCACCCCAAATATCTCTCTTATTTTTTATTTGAGAGAAAAGTGGTTCAGACACGTTTTGTATGGTTTCGAGGGGGCCATAAGATGGTACCATTGATTTGACCTTGAAGAATCATTTAAAGGTCACGTGAAGGTTACCTCAATTTTTTTAGATGGCACCCCCTACTTTTTATTACATATTCTTGTAGCTGACCTCGAGAGCTTCCCAAAACACTATAATCAAATGTTTTTAGTGAAGTATTTTTCGAGTTATAAAGCTCCAAATTTACAAACTTTTGATAAAAATACAAAATATTTCGTAAAACATTCACTTTCCGATAGTCTTATCTTACATGATCCAACCAGTCAAGGCAAGATCCGAGCATGATCCAGCCAGTCAAGGCAAGATCCGAGCATGATCCAACCAGTCAAGACAAGATCCGAGCATGATCCAGCCAGTCAAGACGAAATCCTGTATTGCCTGATAATCAATGAACTGTAACAATTGTGAAAGTGCAATTGTCAGTTCTTTTAATGAAACAAATATCAAGAGGCTTGTTTCAAATTTCTTACTTGAATAACTGTCAATATTTTGGCGAAGTCTCAGACAGACGCATATTATTATCCATTGACTTTTTTTTGATAAGACAGGAATTGTTGGTTTTTTGGCGCTTTTTTCTTTATAATTATGGCTGCTTATCCACCAAATGAAATTGTGGACATGATTCACATTTTGGGTGAGGCCAGGAATAATTACTCGGCAGCAGAAAGGCTTTATGCTGAAATATTTCCAGACAGACGCCATCCTGATAGGAAAGTAATAAAAAGACTGCGACAGAGCTGAACAAGGTATTCTTAGAAGAAACCGGCGAAAATCGGGCCCTGATGAAGTCACATTATTGACTGTTATAGGTGCCGTTGTTTTGAATCCCCAAATCTCTACGAGACAAATTGAGAGGCAATACGGTATATCTAAATCAACAGCCAATCGTGTGCTCAAGCTCAACAAGTTTCACCCATATCACATTCATCTAACTCAGCAATTGGAAGAGAGGGACTACCAACGCCGTGTACGTTTTTGTAACTGGGCTCGAGATCAAATCTAACAAAATCCCCGGTTCATTGCTGATACGCTTTTTTCTGATGAAGCCACGTTTTGTAATAGAGGAGGCGTTAATAGACATAACTGCCATTATTATTCAGATGCTAATCCACATTGGCAGAGAAGCCAAGAGTTCCAACGGTAGTGGTCCATTAACGTTTGGGCAGGCATCCTGGGAGATGTTATTGTTGGTCCATATTTTTTTGAAGAAAATCTCAATGCGGCAATCTATCTAAGATTTCTTCAAGATGATCTGCCCAACCTCTTGAGACGTGTCGACAATGATTTACTCAGACGAATGTGGTTCCAACAAGATGGAGCACCGGCTCATAGATCTCGAGCTGTTACACAATATTTAAACAATAGATTCCCGAATAGGTGGATTGATATGGGCAGCCGAGTTCAAGAATGGCCCTCAAGATCACCCGACTTGACACCCCTAGATTTTTATTTCTGGGGCTACATTAGAGATATAGTTTATCCGCAAAAGCCTACAACCGTTGAAAATATGAAAAACCGGATCAGATAGGCTTGCAGAAATATTAATGTAGGTGTTCTTGAAAAAGTTAGGGACGACTTTCGCCATAGACTAGAGCTATGCATTCAAGTAAATAGCCAAGTTTTTGAACACTTTAAGTAATTGTACACAAAAGAAGATCATGCATTGACTGGTTGGATCATGCTCGGATCTTGCCTTGACTGGCTGGATCATGCTCGGATCTTGCCTTGACTGGCTGGATCATGCTCGGATCTTACCTTGACTAGTTGGATCATGTAAGATAAGACTATCGGAAAGTGAATGTTTTACGAAATATTTTGTATTTTTATCAAAATTTTGTAAATTTGGAGCTTTAAAACTCGAAAAGTATTTCACCAAAAACATTTGATTATAGTGTTTTGGGAAGCTCTCGAGGTCAGCTATAAGAATATGTAATAAAAATAGGGTGTGCCATCTAAAAAAATTGAGGTAACCTTCACGTGACCTTCAAATAACTCTTCAAGGTCAAATCAATTGTACCATCTTATGGCTCCCTCGAAACCATATAAAACATGTCTGAACCATTTTTATCTAAAATCAAAAATAAGAGAGATATTTGGGGTGGACACTTAAAATGGGACACCTTGTATAGGGTGTCCCATTTTAAATGAGTCACGTAAAAGTCTCGAAAAAAAATATGAAAGATACTAAGAAACGTTTCAAATAAAAGTTGTATGGTTTCCAAGGCGACATAGAACAACTATATCATTTTATTTACAGATGACGTCACTTTCGAGATATTCACTGATCATTACTTTTCTTAAAGGAAAATCCCAATATTTTATTATATCATCTTTTTCTACTAATTAATTTGAACAACTTCTGTCTGAAACATTTTGTTATTTACCTAATATTTTTTGAGATTTTTAAGGAAAACTTGATAACTTTTTCAATATTTAACTTACGATATCTCGCTAACTATTTGTCGGAAGAAAAAGTGGTACGAAACTTTTTTACTCTATTTGGTCTCATGAATATATTATTACAATAGCGCCCTGACTTGTTAATTTGATGATTTTTTCCAAAGGTCAATAAGTTAATTAAAGCTAAGGCATAAGTTAATTAAAGCAGTATTGTAATAATATATTCTTGAATCTAAATAGAGTAATAAAGTACTATTTTTTCTTTCGACAGATAGCAAGATATCGTAAGCTAAATGTTGAAAAAAGTACTAAGTTTTCCTATTTTTATATTTTCGAAATTTTTGTCTGGCTCATTTAAAATGGGACGCCCTGTATATTACGCTATTACGACATTGCTATTTTTTTTAATAAAAGTTACACATCTAACAAACATATATGACTTGCATCTCCAGCGATGTATACTTGTTAAAATTGCGAATAATGATTTGTTGCGGTTATTTGATTTGTTCCCCGTACAATTATGAAACAGCAAACGTTCAGTTGTTATATCAACAGAAGTCTTTTTCTCAATGTATAAGAGACAATTTGAAAATTTTAAAGGACAAAAGGAGTTCAGTGGTATCTCATTTAAAAGATATTATTGAAAAAAAATTTTTGCGCAAATTCAGAGTCACTATAAAATAAAGGAACACATGTTTCGCCATTTCCTAATATTTTCAGAATTTCCTAAAATATATAGAAGAAGATCTTAGCACCATATTATATACCATGTGCTGTTATTCCACTTGAAGTAAGCTTTGTTGTTTGACTGGTAGGGTACGTATGGTTTCGGATTGGGAAGATGTAGGTTTCAAGTTTTTAAAGCAGGAATGCTTCGAGTTGTTTTGTTTTGCTGAAGATTTGTTAGCGTAGAGTTTCAAATTTTATAGTTAGACCGACGGACACATTAAACTCTGAACAGAGACGTGCAGATTTTCACAATAGGGTACTGTTTTCTGTTATAGCATTTTTCTGTATCGCTTCCGATTTGACGCGACGAATGTTTACCAAATGTGTCTGTTTCCTATGACCCTTGTTATATTAGGAGAATAGAAGTTCGAGAGAAAAAAAATTTTAATTCCCCGGAGTCCGCTGGACGTAACAAAAGGTTAATCTAAGATAATCTAACAAAAGGTTAATCAATTTGCAACAATATTATCCGACCAGTTGAAACATCAGTTGAAAGTATCTTGTCATGAAATAATCATGCTTCATACACAACGTTATTAAAGTTCTAATCGGCATGTTCCAGCAGGTATCATCTATAAAGTTTGAATCCTTTCTTCACGTCCTATGATTTATATCTCTGTTTTTCCATCTTTTAAGTTCATCTCAAAATACAGAAAGTGCAAACAAACTTTAGAGACACCTTGTATGATTACTTTATATGATAGTACTCGGAGATAGCCCAAATGCTGAAGTTCTTTCTTTGAGTAAAATTTCATTCGGATAGATTAAAACCTAATTATGTCTTAGAGGTATGTATTACTGTTATCAATTGTACCAAATGAATTTCGATATTATAGCATGGCAGACTTGTGGGTATAGTAAAGACAATTTTATATTAAAACTATTAAAGAAAAGAAAAAATCTATATATTGTGTGCGCGCGCGCGTGTGTGAGTGTGTAGTTCAGAGTATTCAATAAAATATATTTATTAAAATAAGTAAGCGCTGTTATATGTGAGAAAATTCAATACATGAACGATTTTTTTTATGTATGATAATTATCGTAGTAACATTAGATTATCGTAGTAACATTAGATTATTGTAGTAACATTAGGTTATCGTAGTAATATTAGGTTAACCTAATGGTAATTTCAAATTTTTTAAATAAAATAGAGATTAAAGCTTTAACGGTAACTTCAGATTTTTCAGATAAAATAGAGACTATATTTTTATTGTCATAATCGTATGAAGCAACGTGTACATTGTCTTCATCTATGATTTTTTCTCATCTTTGCGTGTATTTGCGTAATATTTCATAAAATTATAATGACATAAGAATGTAAATATTTCATTTTACGTAAAAAATTCGAAATTTGTTATAGGCCTGAATAGAAATTAGTTACGATAATAATGCTCGCAGTTAGAGAAATCTATACACTATCAAGTTTTAGCCATGTCAATACTTATAGTGATAAAAAATTATCTCATATGTCAATGGATAACACTGATATAATTGGTACATCAGCGCAGTACATTGAAAACAATCGCTTCTCAGTAGAACCAATAATAAAAATAGAAAGAAATTATAATCAAACTTTTTTAAGAGCCGAACAATAGATTAAACTGCTTTATACATGTCTGTTTTACTAAAACAAAAAAAGTCAAACGTAGTAAATCATAAATGTATGTAAATTATAAATATATCACGAATACAATGTTTATAATACACATATTTTACAACACGCGTTTGCATGTTACGCGTTAAGTTTGAATTAGCGTGAGATACAAAAAGGTTTATCACAATAACTACAATGATATTCACGGAAATGAACATGTTTTATGAGTGAATTGAAAACTGCTTTTACACGTAGTTTCTTCGACGCACGTGCGAATCCGCTTAGTTACAACATTCAATTTTGCCCAACCAGCTATAGATTTGCTGAGTCCATCTTTTCCACGCGCCTTCTGATTCCGATTGGCATTCTTCCTTTCTAGACTGCAGACTTGCGTCGTAGAGCATCAATCATTTCCCCTGTTGATTTCACTTGCGAAGTAGAATTAGAATCGAAAAGCAAGAATAGATGTAGTCTCTTATGAGTGGGGATAAATATGATAGCGATGAAACATATTTCGACCGTGTATTGTCGTATTAACATCCAATCCAGTAACCAAGCGTAAGCGAACCAGTGATGATATCTTGTGCCTTGAGACGAATTATCTCGAGCGGTGAATTACATACGAGAACGACATGATGATAATATGGTACGGTGTGTTATATATTCAGACCTTAGGAATAAATTAACCAACCGAAGAAAAGTAGATTCGATTTAATAAATTTAATAAGTAAACAAACTTCCGGGAATAAGATACGGAGAAATAAAATTTCGGAAAAATATGATGTCCGTAAATATGGGCTTTGTATGTGTATTCGTATATCTACGACATGTTTACATACCATACATGGAAAGAAACAGATCGACGATGCTGATAACAGTAAATTCGAACCAATAACAACGGGCATGTATATATGGATATAGATAATTTCATGTGTTTGGATTACGAGCGCTGATAAGCAAGGCGAAGCGACGGAAACACATTCTACTTCGCCAGTGTGTTCCATACTTCTCACCTGCGCGTATCTGGAAATCGAGATTAGGCTATACGAAACGCTAATAAGTCGTTAACGACTCTCGGCTTCCCGAGTTTTGACAATGTGTTCCCGGAGTTTTGGAATATCCAGTGGGACTGTACAGTTTTCGACGAAAATGCGCCATTTTCCCGTTAGAGAAATGGCTTCGTGCGAAGTCACAATTTAGGAGAACGATCATTGTCGCTCCGCTGAAATACTCATCGTTTATAAGGTCTTCATATCGAACGAAGAACTTGGAAGATTTACTTTCTTGGAATATTGATAAAAATCAACAAAGAGGACTTAGAAAGAGAGAGAGGGAGGGGAGGAACAGTGAGAAGGAAAGAGAGAACCACAATAAGTTTGATCATGACATATATCTTTAAGGCTACTCTTCTGAGTAATCTACAAGAGGTTTTAACTTTCAGTCGCTGCTTATTAAAATGTTATCAACAACAAAAATTTAGGTGATATTTAATTTAAGGGAGTCACTTCCACTGACGTTAACTTCGACCTGGACATATATTATTGAGGTCATCTTATTGGGAAATCTTCAAAAAGTTTTAGCTATTGCTGATTGACGAGTATGTGTATGTAAAACAACCTATGTATGTGCGTAGGAAAGGACAGAGCTTCTCTTCAAAATAAACTAACCTAACCCAACCTATATTATTTACAATATAGGTTAGATATCAAAATGAACTAACCTAATCCAATTTATATCATCTACAATGACATAGGTTAGATAAAGTAGTTTTGTTTCGAGCATGTACTATTGTATTTTTACAATACTAATTTTATAAACTATTTTATCTAACCTATATTATTGTAAATAATATAGGTTAGTTTATTTTGAAGCTCCATCCCCTCTTACGCATATACATAAGTTATTTTGCAAACAACTATATACAAATTATATACAACTATAACAACTATATACAAACTATATCCGTTTGTCATAAAATCCTTACTTTAATTATTTCTTAACATATATAGTGTATCGGAGAAATGCATTATACTTATGAAACTTCTTTTGTTTATAATTTTTCAATAACCAATCAATGACAGCTAAAATCTTTTGAAAGTCAGTGAGATAATTTTAACAATATATGTCAAAGGAACAAAGGGTCAAGAGGTCATTGGGGCTAACTCCTTTTAACTGCGTAATTATCAAAGTATTTTTGTTGTTAACTTTTTAATAACAATTTTTAATAAAAATAGCGAACAACGATTGAAAGCTCTTGTAAATTACTCAGGAGGGTGGCTCGATATTTATCAATATAATCGAAGCTTACTTTCTTTTGCCCTTTTATCGTAAAATTGTAATATGAAGAAATAGACAACTCTCCCTCTTTTTCTTTCTTTCCATTTCCTCTTTCACCTACCCCTTTTTCACTTCCTCCCCTCCCGGCTTCACCCCTCTCTTTTGCTCTCTCCGTCCCCTCTTCATCTTTCTCTTTCTCCTTCTTCTTTCTTTCTTTCTCTCTCTCTTTCCTTATCTCCTCTCTCACTCATTATACTCTTATACCGGACGACATAATTGACGAGTTTATTTGCTTAGGAAATTACAATACGAAGAAATAGATGACTGATTTGTCTTCACTCTATCGAAATTCGCTTGTGGCGCCTTTGAGCTGATCGAAGTAACTGGTAAATTCATTTCCTGAGGAAATTGGAATACGAGACAACAGACCAATGAAACAATCGTTTTACGACTGTCTTCGAAGTAACGCCGAAGTGTTTCACGAATTTGAGCATTTGGCGTCGAATACTTGCAAAACTCGTTCCTCGGTGGAAGGTCGACGTCTTCGCGGCCGATCTCGTTCCGGCCGATGTACATTGTTTTCCATACTTATCGGCAGCGCGATAAATCGAAAAAGGAAGATGACGGAAAAATACAGCAGTTTTATTTTATCAATAGCTTTGTTGCCGGCGAGAGTTTAACGTTGTGAAATCTAATTTATAAATAATTATGGGTTTTCGCGGAGCAACGATGAAGACATCTTGGGAAGATCAACGCAAATGATGGGATCATTCATACAATGTTAATGATCGTGAGAGCTGGCCACTGATGGGTATGATAAGATGGACATGAGAGAGTGACATAGTTTCCTGCGATTCAAGTCAAGTTATTTGATGCGTTAAGTTTGGAATGATAAGTGATAGCCGATACAGTGATATAGTTAAGTCCAAAGAACGAAAAATCGGAAATCTGGCTGGAAAGCGGCAGGAACAGAATATTCGAGATTTATTTGTCTCTTGTTCTTTTATCTCATCTTAGCTCGTGTTCGAAGGCACAAAGAAGAGATTTCTTGATATTATTTTTTAATGAACATCGTGACATAATAAACATAAATTCGATTTTCGGGTTTCGAACTTCACGAATGTCGAACTTCGATGCATACTTGGCAAAGATGAAAGTGCTGAAGTGCGATTTAGTGCCTTCCACGACGGAATCCGAGTACTTCGAGACATCGTGGAAAATCAAGTTGGAACTGATACGTAGGTGCTTGAAGAGATTCAAGGATACGCTGCTGACGCGATACAAATCAAAGAAGAAGGGTTACACAAGGTTTCTTACTGAGGAGGAGCAAAGGTGCAGGCATGTTTTGTAGACATGTGCGCACGCACATGTTTATTGCTATATCGCATGACATGATTGATTCGATACAACAGGGCGGTTTAATAGGAAACAGCTCATTATCTCCGAAACAATTGGTTTTATAGAAAAATTATTGTTCGTAAAATTATAATAGATGATAGTGTTTTTGTGATTTTGAAATAACATACACACACACACACACACACACACACACACATATACACACAGTCGGACTTTTTCAGGGCCAAATGATGGGCAAAATCTGACTGAACATCCTCCACACAGCGACCATCGGGTTGACAATAGTTAGCATTAAACCTTCTTGCTTCTAAACTATAGATAAACGCTATTACTATAGCATTTTGAAAAGCGTCTTGACATCAGTTATCAAAATCTGTCATAAAGAATGAGGATATTTATTTAAGTCTTTTTATTTTAACAGGTCATTCTAAGGTCATTTTAAAAAATCGCAGAAATATTGCTATCTAATATAATTTTCTGAATACTGCATATTATATCTCGAATATTTTTCCATAAACCGAATATGTCAGAGATAATTAACCGTTTCCGGACTTTTAAATCATTTTGTATAATGTTACACTCTTTTTTTTATTACAATTTATATATCGATGATATTGCGATATCGAAATGTTGCGATATAAATGATATACAAATGCAACGCATGACATATTAAGTGAATATGCATTGTTCGAAAAAATAAAAATGTACTAAGACTTGACGAATGTGACAGTTTGCCGAAAGATAATCCTGAAGTCTGAATATCGAAACAATCTCTCGAAATAGGATTTACTCAGAATATGAGAGCTACGCAACTATCTTGAAAATCCTTGTCTTAATATTCCGATTTTGAAATTATGATTTTTTGAAAATTGTCTCTTTTTCGAAATCTGATTTTCCGACTCATGTCTATCATATTTTACAACAATATAAGTTTATATTCTTTACAGATTGATATAAACGTGATATAATTAACAGTTATTTGAAATTATCAGTCATACAAAAGTTATATAAAAATATTTGTCTTTCAGCTGTTTTTTAGCAGAGATATTAGATATCACAATACGTTCCGCGTTATGAAATTCTTGTTATTAAAATTATCACTTACTTTACTGTGACGCTTGATATACGATATCTTTATAAATCTTCTTATCAGCAAAGTCGCGATGCTGACGATACGCGAATGTAAGATACGTGTTATTTTTCAACAATGTAAAAATTCAGCAGCTTCTCCTGATTAGTTGCCTATTACTCGAACAAAAAAATTGAGTGTGTCGTGCGGATATTTTCTTGCGTAATCTTTATTTGCAGATATAAAAAAAGATTAAGGTCTACACTGATAAGTCTATTGTTAATGTTCCTTATCAACAACATTTATCAAACCTCTCTGTTTCAGGTGGCTGGTCGCAACCGAATATGACATATCCGTCAGGTTTGGAGTACCTTATGGGCCTTAATTACCTTTTCGTGAATCAGAAAATTGAATTGCTAGAAGGTGAGTATTAGTCTCTGGCTTTATCATGGTAACAGGACAATAACAGTGTAGTATTTAAATGATTTTAAAATTAACTCTGCATAAACGTAAGATAAAATATATAAATTGCTTTTAGCATCCAATTATAAACCCCAATGCAATCGCAGTCTCAATACCGCCTGATATAGTACCGTCTGATGCAATACTAACGCAGACGTTTGTCACGTAAAAGCAAATATTTCCACATTTGCAGAAATGTAAATCGAATTATCTGTGAACGTTATTACATATAATTTTATACAGATAACACCTTTTTACAATTTAAGAAATGCAGGTGAAGATAATACATATGGTGTTCTATTTTTAACGAGCCAGGCAAAAATCTCGAAAAATACGAAAGATACTAAGAAACGTTTCAGACAAAAGTATGGTTTCAAAGAGAACATAAAACAATTATATCATTTGATTTACAGATGGCGCCAGTTTCGAGATACACACTGATCATTACTTTTCTTAAATGGAAACTCAATTTTTTATTACATCACCTTTTCTGCCAATTAATTTTAACAACTTTTGTCTGAAACATTTTTTTATTTGCCTAATATTTTTTGAGATATTTAAAGAAAACTTGATAACTTTTTCAACATTTAACTTACGATATCTCGCTAACTATTTGTCGAAAGAAAAAATGATATTAAACATTTTTATTCGACTTTTGGTCTCAAGAATATATTATTACAGTAGAGCTCTGACTTTTGTTAATTTTGAAATTTTTAAAGCTCGAAAAGCTAGGGCATTATTGTAACAATATATTCTTGAGACTAAATAGAGTAAAAAGGTTTAGTATTATTTTTTCTTTTGACAAATAGTTGGCGAAATATTGTAAGTCAAATGTTGAAAAAGTTATAAAGTTTTCCTTAAATATTTCAAAAAATATTAGGCAAAAGAAATTTTCAAACAAAAGTTGTTAAAATTAATTGGTAAAAAAGGATGATATAATAAAAAATTTTCCATTTAAGAAAAGTAATGATCAGTAAATATCTCGAAGGTGGCATCATCTGTAAACAAAATGATATTGGGTGAGTGCAAAAGTTCGTGCGGAGTTTCAATAGATGGAGTTATAAGCGTCGTAAAGTGTTGTCATTAATACTTCCATCTACATATTATATAACGTTGGAAAGGTGACGTCTTCAGCTGTTATTAAAAAAAAATCATTTGTTTTCATACAAACTGCTTCGAGAAATATCACTTTAAAAATGAGTATCGATAAGGTGCATTTACGGCATGTTATGCTTTACGAGTTTCGGAAGGGAATAAACGTTGCCGCAGCCGTAAAAAACATTCAGGATGTTTATCAGAATGAAGCACCAGCTAAACGAACTGTGGAAAAATGGTTTGCTAAATTTCGGCGCGGAGAATTTAACCTTGAAGACGAGCCACGCTCTGGTCGACCTTCTGACATTGATGACAACGTTTTGCGTACTTTAGTGCTCAATAATCCGCGAATTTCAACAGAAGAAGTTGCTACAGCACTAAACGTTGACCGATCAACCGCTTTTCGGCGTTTAAAAAAGATGGGATTCGATTTGAAGCTCGATATATGGGTGCCCCATTTGCTGACCGAGAAGAACAAAATCAAGCGAATTTCTGCAGCCGTTTCTTTACTCGGGCGGCTCAATAACGAGTCGTTTTTGGATCGACTAGTGACGGGCGATGAGAAATGGGTCCTCTACAACAATGTTCAGCGCAAACGGACATGGAAACAATCAGGTGAGCATGGTGACGCAATGCCAAAGGCCAGTTTGCACCCGATGAAGGTGATGCTCTCTGTTTGGTGGGATTGCAAGGGCATAATCTATTTCGAGCTTCTCCCCGCTGGCGAAACGATTGATTCGGACAAGTACTGTCGCCAATTAACCAATCTGAATCGAGAAATAAAAGAGAAACGTCCGATTTTATCAAATCGCAAGGGAGTCGTCTTTCATCACGACAACGCCAGACCACACGTTTCGAAAAAGACGCTGCGCAAACTGAAGAGCCTGAAATGGGATGTCTTAACGTATCCACCGTATTCTCCTGATATCGCACCATCTGACTATCACTTGTTCCGGTCATTGCAAAATTATTTAAATGGAAAAAACTTTGACTCTTTGGAGGCCTTAAAAAACGGCGTCTCTTCGTTCTTCGAATCTAAACCGCGCAGTTTTTATGATCGAGGCATCCGTATGCTGCCAGAACGTTGGGAAAAGATTATAGAAAACGATGGAGAATATATCATTGATTGAATAAAGATTTTTGTTTGCCTAATCACTGTGTGACTTTTACTCACAAACTCCGCACGAACTTTTGCACTCACCCAATATAATTGTTTTATGTCCCTCTTGAAACCATATAATTTTCGTCTGAAAGGTTTCTTAGTATTTTTCATATTTTTCGAAATTTTTGTCTGACTCAAATGGAACACTCTGTATATTTATATTATGTATATAAAAACATACATTCGTGTGTTGGTATTTTATCTGGATGATTATCTATAATTTTATCTAGATGAAAGCAAATCCTAGCTGTTATTTCAATAGAATCGCAGTAACAGTAGCAGTAGTGCACAAGATTGTTATACGACTTTCTTCTTCCCTTCTCCTTTCCTTTCCTTCCTCTTTCCCTCCCATCCCTCTCTCTCTCTCTTCTCCTTTCGTCCCTCCCCCGTCCTCCTTCCTTTCCCCCTCCATCCCTTTTTCTTTTTCTCACTCTACAAAAGGCATTCTGTTTACTTCGCTCGTGAATAATGTAATCTTATATGTATGCCATACGATATCTTAATCATAACATGTTTTGTATGCTGAATGGAATTATTACAACTGTAATTCAATATAACAAATGCGTATGTTATGTATTAAGTGCTAGCAATAGTTCGTATGATATTAAAACCATTTTTATTTATTAATAATAATGAGATGAGATATAATATTTCAATTAAAATATTCGCTGTTACTACCAATAACCTATCGCTGCTATAGTTATCTATTTGTGATCTTAAAGATCTTTTGCAAGCATCTGATAACAATATAATGTTTAACCAGGAAAATATAATTACATTACTTTCAGGATTGGGGTACTTGCTGAAGAGTATGTGAAGTTAGCACCTCAACTTTAGTTCTCGATAGTTCTGATTAGAGTTCTAGCTTCCTTTTGAAGAGTATAAGAGTTCTTTTATATTAATAAAAAGAGTTCCGGCGATTAACAGTATTAAAATAGCAATTAAAAAATGGGGTGCTAACTTTACACCCAACTTCAAGATCGAATAGTTCTGAGTAGTTCATTCGATGTCTTTTGACGAGTATTAGAATTCCTAATAGATAAAAAGATGTTCTGATTTTTTTCCAAAAAGTTAAAAATTTCGAAAAACTGAACATCAAGCTCGAATAGTTCTGAATGGTCTATCTGATTTCTTTCGATGAGTTCTAGAGTTCCTGATATAAGAAAAAAATTAAATTCACAGAATTAAAAAATAATTACTAACAGTATTACCATAACAGACCTTTGACGTCAAATAACTTTTTAATTACTGGTCGGATCGCTTTCGACCATTATAATTTCTTTTAGAACTCTTAGAATGCTATCCAAAACTGCCCTCAGAACTCCTGAAAACTCTGAAAACAAATTTCGCTCAGGACAGCCAAATTTCGCTCACCGGATTTTTAAGGTGGAATAAGTTCTATATTGTTGATCGGATCGCTTTCGACCGTTATAATTTCTTTTAGAACTTTCAATATATTATCTAAAACTGTCATGAGAACTCTTGGAACTATTTAAAAAAATCTCGTCGGCGAGCGAAATTTAGCTAAATCCTGAGCGAAATTTTTTTTCAGAGTTTTCAGGAGTTCTGAGGGCAGTTTTAAATAGCATTCTAAGAGTTCTAAAAGAAATTATAATGTTCGAAAGCGATCCAACCAGTAATTATTTGACGTCAAATGTCTGTTACGGTAATACTGTTAGTAATTATTTTTTAAACAATTCTGTGAATTTAATTTTTTTCTTATATCAGGAACTCTAGAACTCATCGAAAGAAATCAGATAGACCATTCAGAACTATTCGAGCTTGATGTCCAATTTTTCGAAATTTTTAACTTTTTGGAAAAAAATCAGAATATCTTTTTATCTATTAGGAACTCTAGTACTCGTCAAAAGACATCGAATGAGCTACTCAGAACTATTCGATCTTGAAGTTGGGTGTGAAGTTAGCACCCCATTTTTTAATTGCTATTTTAATTGTTAATCGCCGGAACTCTTTTTATTAATATAAAAGAATTCTTATACTCTTCAAATGGAAGCTAGAACTCTAATCAGAACTATCGAGAACTAAATTTGAGGTGCTAACTTTACATACCCATTGCCGAAAATAATTCGTTTCCGTTATTTTCTTTATCTGTTATTTATTTTGAAATAATAATAATTAAAATTAATATATATAATAAAAATAAATATTGGGTTGGCAAATAAATCCGTTTGGTTTTTGTTTCAGTGTAAGTTTCATGCGGATTCGCATTTCGTTTTTCAGCGCTATCGTGCAAATCGAATACACATTTGAAAGATTATGTTTCACTGTTTATGTTGTGCTGTGTTTGGTTTGGCTAACATCAGTATTATGTGTGCTGCGTAGCTGTGAACATGGAAATAAATAACGTGCATTATCGTCACATTTTGCTCTATTATTTTAAAAAAGGCAAACGAGCTACGGATGTTCACAAAAAGATATGCCGTGTGTATGAAGATGATATCTTAACAGAACGCGTATGCCAAAAGTGGTATGCCACTTTGCGTTCTGGAGATTGCAACGTCAATGATGCGCCCCGCTCCAGTCGCTCGACTGAAATCAATTCAAGTGACATTAAGGCTATAATCGAAGTAAATCCATCCCAATCGGTATGAGAGATTGCTACGACATTGAATATATCCCACACAAGCGTAGAAAAGCATTTGTGCCAGCTGGGATACGTTTCTCGGCTTAATGTTTGGGTGCC